GAGTTGAAATTCCAGTTTACTTTCAACCTGTACTTTCCAATATCTTTATATTTTGGAGGATTAATATATGTTTAATACACGCACAAAACTAAAGTTCCACTTAACCCTTTTAAATGATAAAGAAAACGTATAAAATATTACTTGTAGATTCTAAAGAGAACTTCTCGACAAAGTTAGTAGATCTAATAGAATTGAAAATGATTGATATAGTCTTTAAAGTATGTATTAAGTAAAATATTGAGGTCGAAAATAGAATCAAAATTTCAACACGGGCGTATTAATAATTTCAGAAGTTCATAAAGACACATAAATAGTATTGCCTTCTTAATCTAAATCTTTCGAAGTTATAAAAATTTAGAATTTTCTCTTTTTCTCTTCTTCTCTCTTTCTCGCACACGCGCATGATATTCTTTTTTTTCATTATAGATCTTACTAGAGGAAATAAAAAGGGAGACGATCGCCTCGCCCGAAACTTTCTATTATGCTTAAGATATAGGAGCAGTTTATCGAAAAAATGACAAGCCTTCTTTATTAGATATTGGATTATAATTATAATTGATGTGGTTGCGTTCGCTTCGCGTTCACAAGATCTTAGCCTTATAGTATAATCGCGCTCGCAGTGGAAAGGTACTCTAACTAGAGTACAAGGTACAAGGTACAAGAATTGTACTCTAGTTAGAAAGATAAGAACATTTTTATATTCCCGCGCTTCCGCGAATTCGTCGCGGGCTTGCGCTTACCGTTGCCCCTCTTCGGAATCGCTCGCGATTCTCCGAATTCGGTGCAGGTCCCGCGCTTCCGCGAATTCATCGCGGGCTCGCACTTATCGCTGCCCCGTCGCGTTTCTCAGAAACGCGTCGCGAGCCTCGCGGTTCCTGGAAGGACGGTGCGTAAGGTGCGCTCCGAAAACGTCCTTTTAAATAGGAGCGATGCACCTTGCGTTGAGTCTCGCTCTCTGAGACGCCACAATTGAGATAATTGAAATTATCTAATTGAGTAAAATTTTTTTTTGTATTTCCGGCGTTTTAACGGGAGTTCTGGATAGCACCACAAGAGTTCTATAAAAAATTCTCATGATGAAATCCATTTGGTGCAACCGTTAAAAAGTTAGTGTCTTTTTTCAGATCACATTTTGTGAAAATTCCTAAGTCCTGAAAGGGTGAAATTTTTTTAAATAATTCCAGCGTTCCGACTGGAATTCTGGATAGCACCACAAGAGTTCTATAAAAAATTCTAATGATGAAATTCATTTGGTGCAACCGTTAAAAAGTTATTGTCATTTTTCTGATCTCATTTTGTGAACTTAGCACCTCCAAACTTCAAAATTAGTTTTTTTTACTTTATTTCGCCGGAACTAAATGTTATCTAGAACTTTAGAACTCATCGGGGTGCAATCAGAATTATGATAATAAATTGATTTTTTTTATAAATGTGGTGCCATCTTCACAGATATTAGAAGGCTGAATAATTTTGAAACAGTGGAATCAAAAATAAACTTGGTCGTTTAAAATAAGCTGTTGCTATACATTAAATTATATCTTTGATGTCGACGCCGTTGGTTTTCGGTCGATTGTGTATACGCTTGTCAGGTATTTTGTTTCGGCGATGGCTCGCGAAGTGTTGCGCGCGGGACGCGGTCGGATGTGTTGTCACGTCGCTTCTTCAAACGTGTATTCGTTTGTTGATGTTTCCACGGTTTGTCTATTTTGTCACGTTTGTCTAAATGCCAGTTGACAATGTCTTTAAATCGCTGCGGTACGATGCAGCGCTGTATATACGGTATTGCAACTGATATGCTTCCGGAAGATCGTCCCTATGGCGATAAATCGACTGCAATGATTTTCTCTAGTAGATCGGTTATTCGGTGCGTGCAGGCAGAGGCTGCCTCGGCAGTCCATCTGCTGACGCGGAGCCTTCGTTGGATTCGTTGCCTTGTTTATCGAATGAGTCCTACTCGTTCGTACGAGATCGTGGATGCGGAAGATACGGTGTCGCGGACGCGTCTATGCGCCGCGGTAGCGGAGTAATCCTGATCTCGCTTCTCCAGTGCGATCTCTAATGATACGGAGGCCTGATCTCGCTTCTTATTCGATATCGGAAGATAGGATCTCTCTAGAAATCGGTATTTCGTGAGTCCGCCGCACCGCGTCGAGGCGAGATGTAGGAGCACAGCGGTATAAGTATAGACAGTGGTGCATTGTCTTCCAATCGCCACGCGCGACATCCCCGCGTTATATTATTGGGCTGCGCTGTGACTCAAGCGGTCCGTCCTCTACCATTCAGCACACGCTTTTTCTTAATCTTTCACAATTAATTACTCGACTATTATTACGAATTTCGCAAAACGGTATAGGACTTTTATGTTCACATCAACCCATTCTACGTCCCCACTAAATGCCCGGAGGAGAGTGTAAGATATCCTGTATACTCGACGTCGCGCCATGACCACTTGATATATAAAGACTGTCAACGACCGAAAAGGCAGTCTCCTGAGTCGCTTATGTGGCCCCGAATCGCCCCGAGTTAGTCTTAGCCAACTTCAATTATAAGAGAATTATAAGAATCGACCACAATTGTGAGTATCAAACTTCGGTCATAAGAACACGGTATGGTTGTAGTAAACATTACTTGATTTGCACACCAATGATGCGATTTCGAGCCCACGTACGCAAGCATTTTTCCCTTTTTATTTACGCACATAGAGCGTTCTGTCTATCCATATGGCAATCGTCATCATATGAATAGACAAAGCGGTTTGCAATATTGTAATATTATAATATTGCGATATTAAGTAATATAGCGTGTTATGTGTGTAGTAATATGAAATCTTGCAAAATTTATATATTATTTATATGTAAAAATCGAGACTAAAATAAGTTATATTGAGAGAGAAAGAAAGAAAAAGAGAAAATTATTAAATGTCATTAAATGCTGCTCAAAACAATCAGAGGATTATATTCATGAAATAATTCTGTCAAATAGTTGTATAACTTACGTTAAAGTTAGAGTTGCGCTGTCAGATTAAAAGTACGCTAACGCTCGACAACTTAAAAGAACGTTACGCGACATTTCAAGACGAGATTAGATTAAATTAGTATTTGTACAGTGAATTATGAGAGTATCTAACTGATAGAAATGTTACCTATTGCAATTAGATGTAGTAAATTGATCAACTCTGGAGTATCGCAATCCGATACCAATTCAACAACTGTAATGATCGTTAGCGCGTCGCGTGCGTGTTGTTATCGTCAAGTTACACACCGTATTGTGTATTCGCCCGCGCGACCTCTACAAACGCGGCTCCTCATGATTTTCCACACTACGCACCACTGCAAACAATCGATTTAATTAAATTCAATAATTTGGCTTATATCATATACAATTTTCACGTGTCATCTTGTAATATTAAATTATTTAATACTTTTTCCAGTTGCAATTATTTATTTTATTACTTCGTACAGTTACTGATTAAGAAAATTAATTTATCAATATTGTATGTATAATTAAAATACGATTAAACATTAAAATAGAATATTTATGAGAGTTTTTATAATTCAGCATTCTTCTAATCTTTCTAATCTTTCATCTTTTTATGTGTCATATTTATTTTTTTACAACGCATCCACTTTAATACGCATTTCTATAACATCCATAATTCCCTACATTGTATAGTTACTGCGTATTATCAAAATTTAATAATAAAAAGACAACTTTGATGTAACGATTATAAATAGCAACATAAAATTTTGTAAAATTTATTATGCATGGTTTGTATATAAAAAATGGAGTCTAAGATAAATTGTTACACGAGAGAACAGAAAAATGAAAAATAGAGAAAAAGAAAAGGAAAGAAGGAGATAGAGATTGAAGAAAAGAAAGAGGAAGATAGAGAAAAGGGAAAGAGGAGAAAGTAGAAATGGAAAGTGAAATGGAAATGAAATGGAAAAGAAAGTAGAGAAAGAGGAAGATAGAGAAAAATGGAAATAAAGGAGCAGGAAGAAAGAAAATTTATTAAATGTCATAATACGCTACTCAAAACAATTAGGGATTACATTAACTAAATAGTTCCGCATTAAATAGCTCTACTTGATATATAATTCTAGATATAGAAGATCTAGAGTCCCAAGTTCAGGTTTCACGAATGTAGTAAATCTTTTTTTTTCAAAAACGATATTAATTAAATCAATTAAATGGGATATAATTATAAAGATTTCAGTTAAATTATCGACATCTCACAAACAACTAAAATAAGTAATAATTACAATTTGCCGCATAAGAATATTTTATTTTACATTTTACGTTATAACTGTGTGAATTTCACATAAAATCTAGTTCTAGATAATGTCAAGTTTGTTTATCATTTTATGTTATTGTGAACATATTATCATTGTTTGACATACTCGCATTATATTCAATTAGACTGAACTACCTAGAACATGCGAAATATTAAATTTAAACAAAACATTTTTTGTTTTAACAATCTAAAGAATTGATATGCACGTACATAGAAACTGCATAGAGCCTCCACAGAATCTGTATAAAACCTTCATAGTACTTCATAGTAATCTCCAATTAGTATGTCTAATGGACGTCATATGGAGACCATAAACGGACATTTGGATATTCATTAGAAATCCTGTAAATATTACACATCCATTAGAGCTTTTGAATCTCCATGATGGATGTCTATTGGACGTCCACTAGAAGTTTTTGTTTCGTGTAGGTAAATAGATATTTCAGTAATAAATTGCTGAAATATATACCTTGTGTAGGGGCCTTTGCTAATTTTTTCAGAATCTATAATTTTAGTACATAACAAACTTATTATAATTTAGTAAAGCGAAAGATTTAAGCACTAAGTATATTTATAAATAAAAATATTTTTAAATATTCAAGCAAAAAATCACGATTACATGATATTTTAATCTGCTTTATCGAACTATTTATATATAACTGTTCTTTTAATAGCTTTAAAATAAATAAAATGCAACGGCTAAAACTTCTAGTATGTTTTTCAGCATTTTTTTCTTCATAATATATATGAAGCTCAAACTCGTTGGAGACGGATTCGTTAATTGGTATATTTACTACTTCTCGTAAACAAATTAACCTTGAATTCGACTATATTTTTACCTCCGAGTCGGATATTTAACGTATCGTAGAATTGATCTTAGATTGCAGTCGCGTCTCAACCATATTGTAGATGAACTCGCGTCTATAAAGTGTGTTCCATAACGTCGCACGTACTGATCCTCGTTAATCCTCTTTTATTAATATTTAGAAATTTTATGTGGTTAAAAAGAGGAAGTTTTTGTTCAATTTGACCTAATCTATCTGCACACGTGCGTTGTCATATCTTGTGTCAAACACCTTAGAAATTTATATAGAAATTTGTGGCCGATACAGGCGAAACAAAAAAGAACCAAGTAAGTTCGTAGCAATACATCGTTTTTTTTAAATTTTCCACTGCTTATTTTCCACTAAAGCAGTTATCGTACAATATCGTATAACGTTATCACGAATTTCGTCAAGCTATGTGAACCTGGCACCCGACTTTTGAAAAAATAATACATTAAAAGTTTTCTACATAAAAAGCATTTTATTCGTAGTTGTTTGTGGTAACAATAATTTAGTTTGTAGTTCCACCCATTAAAAATTACAGAAATTAAAAAAAATGAGTAGCACCCCATTTTGAGATCTCAAATCTGCAAACGGGTGACGTTTCTAAATCGTTTGTAGTGATTTTCGTTTCGTTTGTAGTCGAACCGTTCAAAAGTTATAACAACTTAAAAAAACCACACCTAGCTACTGTACGTGTAACTTTGCAGAAAAAGAAAATATATGTATTGTTTTATGTACAATCCTAAAAACGCGAATATTTTGTGAATTTTAATTTTTCTGTTCTTTTTCTTTCGTGAAGTTATAAGGATATAAAAAAGGAAAAAATATAGGAACGAAAAAACAAAAAGTAAAAAATAAAATAAAAAACTAAAAAATTAAAAAAATTAAAAAAATGAAAAAATGGAACTATAAACTCTAGAAAGTATATGGAAAGTATATGGGTATCGATTAATGCTGGATTTTAATTAATCTAGCTAAAACGTAATTAAAATAGAAATTAATATAGTGCTAACACATAGTGTGATCACACGATTAAAATTTTTACTTGTGATAATGTATTCTGAAAATATCTGCTCAGCTATTATTTAGTTGATTTCAATTTATGAATATATAGTAACACCTATGATTGCTTCCGATTACACAACTTAAAATAATCGACAGGAATAGACTGTCGTCTAATGTGTATAACGCCGTGCCCAAAAGTTATAAACGAACACACTATGTATCTACAGTGTTATTACACTGAAGCTCGCGCGACTTTCAATACAACATATGAGAGAATAAAACGGACACCAATGAAAAATTGTTTCGTTAGGTTTGTTTGCTCTACAATTCTGTTTCGTTAGATTTGTTTGCTCTATAATTCTGCTAAGTTGCAGATTTTTTTAATTTTCACGTCAAATTGCCAAATGTCCCTTGTTAGTTGTCTCTAATACGCATTCCTATAACATTTCCACGATTCCGTACATTATATAGTTATTGCATGTTTATCAAAATTTAATAATGAAAAGACAAATTTGATGCAAATGATTATAACTATAAATATATAATAAATGATTATAACTGTTCATATTACTATAAATAATAATATGAAATTTTGCAAACTTTATTGTATATGGTTTATATGTAAAAGTGGAGTCTACAATAAATTATATTGAAAAAAAAAGATAGAGAGAGGGGAGAAGAAAGAGAAAAAGAGAAACAGAATTAATCAACCATAATCGATAATTACAAGAATAGGCTATGATTGGCCAATTCTTACGGCTTACTTCTTATATTGTAGACCAAGTCTATGATTAAAGGCTTCTTAGGTTCTTAAGTCCATTCTACAATGGTAATAAGCAGTAAGAAGTAGGAAATAAGAGTAAGAAATTGACCAATCATAGTTCTTATTCTTCTCACATTTGACTGTGATTGGTCAATTTCTTACTCTAATTTTTCACTTTTTACTGCTTACTGCCATTGTAGGGCTTTAAGGCCTACGCCTTAAATATGCCTTCGCACATAAATTGCCGTAACCATAACCATAATACGTAAACTTAAGTTGAAGAACCAATCAGGATATTGCTATAGATCTATGTATTCTAAAAGACTATAAAAGTAACACCAAGTTATACTGACGATGTACAGTAAAATGTTATTTTGAAACATATAGTGCCAGAATTACAACCCACCATGATAGATGCGAAACAATACAGCCAATCTAATGATGCGTCGCAAAAAGGTATAATACATATAATCAACGAGTTTGATGAGCAACTGATAAATATATCCGGAAAGTGTATGGATATCGGTTGCGGTCCTGGTGATGTAACACGAAACATTATTTTGCCGGCACTCCATATGGAAGCAACGATAATTGGTAAGAAAATATTGATGTAATATTAATGTAATATATATATATATATATATATATATATATATATATAAATTTTATATGTAACAATACATATATGTAATATATATATGATTTGATGTAAATTATCGCTTTATTGAATTTTATTTAAAGGTACGGATATTTCGGAGGATATGATTAAATATGCTAACAAATTATACGAAGACGAAAAACGACTTGAATTCGAAATATTGGATATTCAAACAAAGAATCTACCTGATAAATACATATCTGAATTCGATCATGTATTCTCGTTTCACACTTTGCATTGGTGCGACGATATACGGTAAGAACGAATTTGAAGCGAGTACATTACTAATTGCCTCTATCATAAGCATAACAAATATTTGAAATAATTTTAGTTAAATAATTTACACGTAATTTTCATTTCATTATTTCCATGTGATTGCTCCTGGTAAATATTTTTTTTCTATGACGATTAATAATGCAACTTTAAAGGCGCGGAAGTATAATACATTAATTTCATATTTTATTAAAACGTGCACATAAATTGCCTGTTTGTTTGGTATTTTAGATTTTCGCGGTATTGTCCAATACTTCGTTTGTTTTCCGGATATAAACCGCATCTTCTTTGTATTTAGTCCCGACGTTTTATGAACATTTCAATTTAGGTGGCCTTACTTCCTGAAGTAAACTGAAATATTCACGAAACGTCGGAATTAAACACACGGAACAAACCATGGAAAACAAGTATATTTTCCGTTTGTCCCGAGACATTTTAATGAATCTATACGTTTTGAAAAACTAAGTACGTTTAATATCATTAAAGAAGTTAATAAGAGTTGAACTTTAGGAAAACATGTTGTTAGTAAACGTTATAATCAACAACTACATAATCAAAATATTTGTACGTTTTTAGATGTTCCTTAGCAAAAGTAATACAAACAATAATAAAGTCAAGAGTTTATTTTAATTGTAAATACATTTCTTATTTTATCTTATAGACAGGCGTTGGAGAATATTTATCATATACTTCGACCAGGTGGAACATTTCTTTGCGCAATGGTAACATCTCAAAATATTTTCATTATTTTGCATAAAATGGCGCAAGATACCCGTTACGCCTCTTATGTAACAGTAAATATTATATAATAAATATTTATTAATTATATAATTATATAATATATAATATTTATATAACAATTATATAATTACATAATAAATAATAATTTCTTACTGGCTAATTCGTTATATATTATCTAATGTTTTCTTTATACTTATATAGAAATTCAACAAGTTTCTTACACCATTTCATAACATACCTCAACCTGACAAAAAAATGAAAAAATTACTCCAAAGTATCGGATTTGTAATTAATCATTGCAGTCACCGAGAGAGAACCATTTTTATTAAGAATGTACAGAAGTTTCCATGTAAGTTTTTTGAAGAATATCTACGCAAGCATATAAAATTTTATCTAGAGTTAGAAAACAATAAGTTATCTAGAACTATTATAAGTCTTTTTCAATATAAATTTAAGAAATACATTAAATTTTATCGTAATATAACGATAATAGTAACATAATTTGCAATAAATGTAAAGAAAATAATTATTGCTTTTATTATTATTTGGTGCATATTCTTTCTAAGTTCTTTTGAATAAAATCTCATACAATATGAGCGAAAATTCACTCGAAGCGATAATAAAAATTGCCACGCGAAATCGTAAGAATGATTGTGTTGCATGTAAGTTTAGAGTGAATTCTGAACAGATAAATGTTTTAAACAATTAAAATGACATTGCTCTTATATATGACCGTAAAGAATATTTCAGACTCACTCTTTCATTTTAAATAATAATATTTGTTTGACGATTCAGAGAATGGCGAATTTACTTATTAAGAATAAAAAAATCATTGCATTTCGAGTGATATTTATAATATTAATGATATGTCACTATATCGATATATCACGTAATGATCTGATTTTTTTAATTTTATATTAACTGTTAATTATTTCGACAGCTGCGATATTGTCTTTCGTATCATTATTTTTGAAAGACATGCCCTACAACCTACTGGAACAATTTAAAGATGAGTTTACTCGGGAATATACGAGAACACTATTTGGTCATGCAAAACTGTATAATGATGAAATGGCAGCATTGGATCTACACGAAATATTGGTATTTTATGCACAAAAGATAACAAAAGAAGACAATGAACGATGCCGTTGAGGATGAACTCAGAAAATATTTATTTTTATTTTTTAATTTTTATTTTATTTTTTTTAGTAATTATTTCGTCACTCTATTTATTATAAATTATTTTATTATAAATGCTAAATTTTAATTAATGCTATATAAAACCAATCAAAACAGAAATTAGTACAAGGTTAATTAATGTGATCACACGATTAAAAAACTTTTATCTGTAATAATATATTCTGAGAATACTTTATCAACTATTACTATTTAGTTTGGTATTATATAGCTTAGTAGTTTGGTATTATATAGCTATATAGTTTAGTTGACTTTAATTTATAAATATATGCTAATACCTACGATTACTTTTAAAAGCACAACTGAACATAATCGGCAGTAACAAAGTGTCGTCTAATGCCGTGTCCAAAACTATTATAAACATGAACCTAATATAACTGTAACTTAATAACTGTAATAAATATGAAAACCTGTGTACCTATATATTGTTACACCGAAGTTCGTGCGACTTTCAACACAACGTATCACGCTTAAGAACATGATTTATTTACTCATCCAATCTCTGTTATATTTTAATCCTTTATTCTATCATATATTATATTTAGTTGTTTAATACGTATTTCTATAACATTTCCATAATGTACTTTGTACAAATATTGCATGCTTAATAAACTTAAGATTTAATATCAAAATTTAATAATGAAAGGATAACTTAATATAATAATTATAATACAATAAATAGCAACATGAGATCATGCAAAATTTATTATGTACTGTTTATACATATAAAAATATAGTCTAGGATAAATTATATTGAGAGAGAGAGAGAGCTTATTAAATGTTATCAAATGCTGCTTAAAACAATCAGAGGATTACATAAAATAGTTTTGTACTACTTGAGTTGTACAACGACGTCAAGCCTTAGGTTTGGTCTACAATATGCAGAATAAGCTTAGAATAAGAAATAAGTCATAAAGCCCATTCTATAGTGGTAGTAAGGGTCGTGAAACACAGAAAAACTTAAACAGTAAGCAAATTGACCAATCACAATCGCTGATTCTTCTTACGGTCCAAGAATTGCTTTTTAAGCAGTAAAAAGTAGGAAGTAAGAATAAGAAATTGGCCAATCATTTGATATATCCTGTTAATTGATCAGTTAATTATTCTTCTCACATTCGATTGCAATTTTTTATTTTTACTTTCTACTTCTTACTGCCATTGTAGAATTATTTTATTGTAGATTATTAGCACTTGTATACGACTAATAAAGAATTAACCATTATACGCTTGCATTTGATACTGGACGCTATAATGTAATGATTACTGCTTTCTGCTTCTTCTGTTAAAAATTGCTTGCAATAATGGAATTTTATAAATTTGACTTATAATATTAATGACTAATATATATCAACCATGCAAATATTTATTGCATATGTTTTTGTTATCTTATTACAATATCGCTATTTCCGTCCGGATTTTCCGGATGTTCCAGATATGATGTATTTCACATTCCAAAGTTCCATTTTGCCGGTATTTAACTAGTAAATCCATACGTTTATTCTACGTTAATTTTATTTGTTTTCCATTTCGTATGTTATTTGCTTTATGTCTGCGCGTTTGTCATTGAATTTATCGGGGTTGATACTTTTATATCTTTTATATTCGTGGAACATAGAATGTAGATCATACAGCAGCTAAGCCGATTAATCACGCCGGGAACAGAGAGGGAAAACGAGATTCATTGTTACTACGACTGGATTTATCGTGGCCAGTCATAAATGAGAGAATTAAGGAAATATGACATTGTATGATACTACGGCGAAGTATCGCGATTCCCCGCGTTATAGGGTGTCTAGCGATTGTAAAGCTCGAGGTATTGATCGTTACGACGGAGCTGTGCGTAGGTGCAGAAGCCGTACACTTTACGACTTTACACGAGCAACAAGAGTTTGCATTAATAAAGCCCCTTTCGGGGTCCAACACTGAGGCGTTTATGAGCTCCCCGATGTTCAGCCGATGCGAAGATGTTATAAATCCATAAATTCAGGTCAGGGTACTTAAAGTAATTTTACGGGAGGGTTATACACGGGATGTTTTGGGCGTGTATGTGTGCGTGTTTTATGCTTTTCCATATATTTTCATACGTTACGACAAAGCATAGGCATGCCTGAAAATGTAATTTAAATTTATTACATGGATTCACATGTTTTACACAATTATTTCAGACGACCCGTATGATAAAAAATTAATGTAACTTAAATTGCAGTATACATTGGCATGTCATGTTCCATTTTAAATCTATTACTCTCACGGTTGTAAAAAAATATACTGTATAATTAAGAAAATATTATGACATAAAATATGACAAACTTACAAAATAATTACGATTTATAATATTTATGAATAATCAGTTAGTAAGTTTTTTTACCACAAGAAGTATCGACATGAAGTTTCAAAACGTAGCTATGAAAAATTTCGGAGTACTATAAATGACGGGTTGAAGTCCCACGTTCTTATGGTTATTCGTCGGGTCAGCGCATGGAGTCTGTACGTTGAAAAATCATTCGGCCGGATGTTTCAGCAATTTTCAGCCTGCGATATGTCCGGCGAAATCGGCGCGGATCGAACGGCGAAAGGTGGGGCGCCCTGTTTCCATTTCTGCTTCACATAAATGATTATCGAGATGGGTTGTAGCGAAATTCCCGCGTGACTGGACATCGATGTAATCGTTGATGGTGCGTGCGGAAGTCTTCTGGTCATCTCCCATGGGTGGGTCCGAAGACGTTGTAACGGTAACGCCAGTCACCCTTCTAAGCGGTGATCCCCCAAAGCGTTTCTTTATATCACCAAAGCGCATCCCCCTGAGATATGTGACGCAGATGGAGGGACACGGCCGCAATATCTTCATCCCTTTTCGCAGGAGCGCGTGCGGTATGACTGGCTCCTTCCAGCGACTGTGTTCTCGCGCCCTCAGGAAATTTATATTTTATCGAATCGAAAGTACCGCGTCGAGAGGTCCGCTTTGTACGTAAACCATTCTCGCCGCAGGATCACGGTGCAATCGTTCGATGAAATTATCAGCTGCTAGGGTGCGAAATTTCGCGATGCTTTTGGAACATCGTCCACGATTTTCTCTCAATACGTAACGCCGATTTTACCGATATTCGATTATTGGCTCAGATCTCCAAATGTTATTGCTACTTTGGCACGTCAGCGCAACGCAATCGCGAAACACGGAACAATTTCTAATGAATTTTTATAATATTTGCATCCGGCACGTTAGCAATCCATGAACTTGTGTTAAAAGATGAAGATAAAGAAAAGGATAAATTTATTTTTTCAAATTTTTATAAAAAGAGATATTCCAGTTTTGTCATCACTTTCTATAAATAATATTATTAATTATATTTTTTATTGGGTTGTGTGTACGTGAAACTTTTTTGATGCTTTTATTACAATTATGGAATAAACTCTTTTAATTTTAGGAAGAATCAAGCAAAGCGAATCGTTGGTTCGATGGTTCGTAAAATTGGAATCAGCACTGGGGCGACTTCTGTCACGACTCCACTGATTTGTCGTAATATGTTAATATATGATCAATCTGACAAAGCGTGGCTATATATAAGAAACCTTATCCTGACCTACGGCTTATCGCGTAAAAGACGGCGCATTTCGGGAATTCTACATTGCGCGAAAGGGGTTGCCAGCCCCTTAAGACCATAACGTTTATGTAGGTGGCGGGCTTTTCCTAAAAGGGAGAGAGATATGGGCCATACGGTAACGAGAAAACGTGAGCCACAATATCGCGCCCAAGTCTGACTCCGCGCCTAAGATCGCCGGTGAATCGGGTTTATTTATTGTTTACGCTGGGATATAATGTCGGGTCTACGTTACTGTTTATGTAAATATCCCTTGGCACAACCGTGACTATATCGTCCGTGTCCGATAAGATGAACTAGATAAAGGCTCCTCGCTCGTTAGGAACTTCTCGCGTTTTCTTGGGAACTCTCCGTGTTTCAATTACTTGTTATCCTATGCAATGAAGATAAATTAACGAAGTTAAGGAGCCCGTATGTGAATCAAGAAGCCGTGATTCGTAAACAATACACTCGTTACTCACCTGCTGCTAAAGAATAAGTAGCTCAAAATTTTTCTTGATTGAGGAAAGTCCAATCGTTTAGGACCGAGACATATGCAAGTCTTTCAAGGTCAATGTCAGTACTACGATGGAATAGCCCGGAGTAAGATGTTAAAATCGGGAAACTAGGACGGAGAAAGCAGGAAGCCAAGAAAGCAGGTAAAGATACATCATATAATACTAGATGTATAGAATCATTTATTGTATAAGTTTCCGATGATTTTAATGGACACTTGACAGATTTATTGAGACTAAGAAGATACTGAAATCGAAATTCAGGCCGGCATTCATATTTCGTAGTTATCGTTGAAAAAATTATACAATTCCTTCTTTTTTAACTCATCTAAATTATCAAATTCTATCGAAATTACAACATCAATAAAAAAACATAGTTGTGAAAGAATTATAAATAAAGTTTTTTATTTTATTTATACATTAAAATATAATAAATATTACTTACACATAGTAACTATTTCATATTTTATTATCTCAAATACGAAATCTGTTAAATAAGTTACATAAATTAATCATTACTCGTTGCTTATTTAGAACAGAAATAAAGATTAAATATAACTAGAATATATTTTGAGATAATAGAATAATTAAACAATTTTGAAATAAATCTTTCTTTAAGACTCTACATGGAGAAGACAGCATAATAATGTAGAATAAGTAATCATTTATAGGATCAAGTAGGATAGCATTCTATATATTTGGAGATTCTTCACAATGATCTTTCAAATTTCAATTTGCAGGATTAATGAAAGTTTCGACTCGAGCAGCGCGTAGGTAAGTAGCTGTTGGATTGACGACTATACCTCTTGACCCTTTTACTCTCCCTCGTGGAGCAAATACGACGATTGAGTTCAACACGTATAGCGATCGTGTGAACGAGCGTGTCACATCGTCTCTCGTTGTGTCACGAGCGGCGGCATCATCCCCGGACGCGAACCGCTCGTTTCCACTCCCGTCTGGCGTTTTCATCGTAACAAGAGGTGGCTCGACTCTCGCGGGGGTGGAAGGTGAGCGAACAGACCGGGTGGCAGCGTCGGCGGGTGGTGGGGTGGCGCAGCGGTGGCGAGGCCCCCGAAGCTTTCGTTTCTGGAGCAGACGAATCGATGCTCGTTGCCCGTCCTCCCCCTGCAACGAGTTCAATGTCTCGCCCGGGCCGGCCGAAGCCCTCGCGGTCGTGGGTCGTGGCCGTGGCCGTCGGACGGAACGCACCACTGCCACCCCCGTCACCAGCCCACGCGCTGCTGCTGCTGCTGCTGCCGCCACCGCCGCCTCCACCCCCCATCGGCACCGCCGCCGCCAACCTTCGTCCGTGCCTCGTGCGCTGCGATGT